CCCCCCACCCCCAGCCCCAGCGAGGACGTGGGCCTGTGACCATGAACCACGTATGCGTGTGCGTCACTTTCACGCTGGCGTATCTGCGACAAAGCCCAAACGCCAATGGAATGCCAAACAAATTTGCCTTGGAATACTTCAGAAGGCAAATGCATACAACGCAATTCCATGAGTTGTTTCTTTTGACTCATCAGGAGACGTAGCTCCTGGTTCCTAATGTTATGGTTCGTTCTTCCGTTTCCCAAGAGCTGCTGAGTCAGACAAACCCCCACCCACCAACCCCTCATACGGTATTCGCTCCAAAGTGTGTACACACGTCTCGGTGCATAAAACACTTTAAGTTCTGTAAGATCTTCTGTGGTTCAAAACTGTTGCACCATAAGTGGTCATCAGATGTGTTGCTTCCAAAAATGAGTGAGATATCAGTAACTCCGCTTTCCAAGATCCGAGCCGTCATTACGACGAGATTTTTGTGCTTTGACCTGAAAGCGCAGACTTGAGCACCGTATAGTGGCAGTGAACTCAACTTAACTTACCTCACAATTAACTTGGTAAATCATGAACCTTTCATCACAAAAGAGGGTTCAAGAGTTTTACTGCTACTCCCAGTTTATTTTTACTCAAAAACTAAACGGAAAACAAAGAATGAGGAAGAGAATGGCCTGCTAGCTTCATGTTAACATACAGTATAATGGAAAATGCCACTGACGTGCTAAACAATTAGCGTCAATAATTGTGGTTTTAGGACTCTTTCAGCAATGAATAATCGAATGAGGAAATCACAAACGATGGAGCAACACATAGGGCTGTACAATTCATCAAATTTTGATCGTTATCATGATTTTGGCAGATATGATTGAATTAACGTGATCCTTGTCAACATTTGCATATAAAATGCAAACTCTGCCGCATTTTAACCGAGCACTTTCTCAAACAGTGGTCAGCCAACCAGCCGGAGGTGAAGGCATGATTAAGGCTTCCTTGAACTGCCGAAATTAACAAGTTGGACGCTCCCCGAAGTGGGAGCCAAAAGTCACTTCAGAGGACTAATGAGGAGTAATGTCAAGAGAAGAAAGTACAGCAAAAAATTGGAGATGAGAAGCTCGTGCCCTGAAAGGGATAGACATTTGTTGTTTGAACTCGTTTTGGATTAAGAGCATGTGAAGTCAAACAAAATATTAACATTCATTTAGCCCGATGTAAATTTCATTTTTTTATTTACAATTTATTCTAAAATGCTAATCCATTTCTTTGAAAGTCCCATGCTGCACAGACAGCCGTTTTTTTTTTTTTTTTGAAAAGTAGTGCAATGAATGCACAAATGTTTTCCCTGACATAATGAATAACTGTGAAAAATAATAGTGGTGACATGATTTTTGAAAAAAAATTGATTAACACTGGCCATAATTGTGCAGCCCTAGCAACACACATAGATAGATGATGTAGCAATACTCGTAAGCATATATTCTTTATTCAGAAAAATAAATTACTCATGCGATTAGAACAAGGGTGTCAAGCACATTTTTGTCGTGGGCCACATTGTAGTTAGTGTTTTCCACGGTGGACTGTTATGACTGAAACCATATAGATGTTTAATCATCTTCTCATGTTACTACAAATAGTTTGTTCAACTATTGTTCAAGTTACTGTAACAACGTAGTAGGAAAATGCTTGCAATATCTCAACGTTGTTAGTCATTTCATTTGACAATTTGAAATTTTGGTCCAGATTTGAACAATATTCATGGAAGTTGATCTGCTTGATTTGCTTTTGTGGGCCACATCAAATGATGTGGTGCGCCAGATCTGGCCCCCGGGCCTTGAGTTTGGCAATGGTGTAGTAAAACAAGTTGATTATTCATTTTGTGTCAGCATGACCAAATTATGCTGCCCCCCAACGGTGAAGGGGAGCATATCAGATGGAACCGCACCGTGAATTGCAGTATGAATGATGCCGACACTGCAGAATTCTTTACATTGTATTTCATTGTGTTATCACTTTATTTTTGATGAAGTATAATGGAATGCTATTTTTTCCTTCTTAAAAACATTTAGTTTGTTTTTTTAGGGGGAGGTTAGAACAGATTAATGGCCTTTCCATTCATTTCAATGGCAAGGGATGATTTCATATATGAGTGTTTTGAGGTACGAGCGTGATCACAGAACAAATGAAAGTCATATCACAAGGCATCACTGTATATCTTTGTTTGTCTCTCAATACCAGCGGTGTATAGTGACAACATCGAAAACCATTTAGAGGCACATAATGAACTTGCGTGTCCACTTTTTGGAACATTTTTTCCCCAGATGTGAACTTTGTGCTTTGGCTCAACAAAGGTTAGGAAACACCGGGTGAGATTTGAGGGAGATTTGTCCCAATAAAGACGACTGGAGGAAGTTTCATCAAAAGAAAGCTGCACACAAAAGGCAGCCAATACACTCGACGCTTTCCACCTGCCCTCTTGTCCACAGAGGAACATAATACAGCCCCGAGACGAGATGAATAAGCTTCCAAAGGCGCTCGCCTGGCCCACGTGGAAAATGTGCATTCACACAGGTGGAGCACCTGTGGAAGAGTCTAATACTCCATCAGAATCCACTCATTTCCTCCCTAAGTTGCACCATTATGTCCTCTAGTTTGTCAACAACATGAGCAGGATGATTCCCAGAAGGCGCATTTAAAATGGATGGGGGCCTGTACATGCACCACTTGTATTGGCACAAACATGACATGACTCCTTTAACCCCGAGGTGCAGGGAGACATGTAACACCTGACTTTTACTTTTACACGTCACGTCATCGGGCACGAACAAGTGACACTCTCTGCCCCTTTTGTTTCATTGGTAGGCCCGCATGTGGATGGGCACCAATTACCCCCAATCTACGTGTCCCCTCCCACTTGTGACATGCCATCGACAACAAAATGCGGCAGATGCCGGTGCCGGTGGAGCACACAGGTGTTGCCAGAGCAACGAGCGCCTGTGAGAGTGCGAGTCAACCCGCATTTTGGCCAGGACAATGAAAAGTGACACTCGGCCAACACGGTCTGCACCCGCAGTTCGACTCAAAACGCCACATTCACATGAAAACATAAGATGGGATGTACGCGTTTGTTGTTTTAGATGGGGCAGGGAGGGCGCGTGTCGTGAGCACCTCCCCCCTCAATCAGCAGGTGATTCTACCCCCCCCCCCCCACACCCCCCACTCACCCAAAAGAGACACACACACACACACACACACACACACACACACACACTTCCTCTTTATTCCCCTCTAAAGGGGCACCCATGAGAGTCCTAACTGCACCGCGAGAGTCGTGCAGGGTCCGGTGCGAAAGTGTATAATGCCGCACATTGTCAATGTTGGTGGGGCTTCTCGCCGTCACGGCTGCACAACAGCCTCTCAGCATCGCCACCGCCGGCAGGCAGCGGCGTTGCTATGGCAGCAGGGATGAGAGTGCACGGGGCCGCTCGCGTTGGGATGTGCATGCACGGACAAAGTGGAGCGTTATCGCTCGGGGTGGAGATGGGACCGCGAAATGTTGGCGTTTTTTTTTTCCTTTTGTGGAAGCTTTGAAATGAAGACAAGTTGCTGACGGCAACGGGACAGCTCGCAGACGCCACGCGCGCACACGCACACGATCAGACTTTACCGTTGACTTGACCGGGACGTACAGCACGGGCTTCCCCGGAGCTCCTTTCTTGTTGTGCTCTCCCAAAACGTTGGTCCCCACCTGAAATCCTTTGGACTTGACCCAGAATTTGAATTTGGCGTTAATGTGGCTGTTGTCCACGTACACGCCGTCCGACTCGTCGTTTTGCAACAAGGTTTGCATGATTTTGTTGTATTTCCGCCGGGTGACGGTCTTTGTTTTGCCAGAGTCTCCGTAAGTGCGGAGGCACCAGTCCTGAAATTCAGTGAACATCTCCGCCTCCAACGCGACCGGACTCCGGCTCCGGCTCCTTTTGGGAGCATCCACGCACGCCGCCTTCTTCGTTGCCATTGCTCGCCCTCGCTCCCCCTTCTCGCTCCCTTTCTCTCTCCCTCTCGCTCTCTCTCTCTCCTCTTCCACGTCTGGATCCAACAGCCCGGCTAATAAAGAGCACACTTGAGCGGCTTCCTCCTCCCCCCTCCCGCCCCGCAGCCGCCGCCGCCGCCGCCGCCGCCGCTGCCGTCCCACGTCCGATGTGGATCGGTTCGTGTTCCGGGACGCGGTTTGGTTGCGCGCGAGTGACCCAGGCCGGCCGGACGGACGACAGCACACCTGTTTGCAGCGGCTGTCCCGACCGCAGCGGATAAAATGTCACTTCCTCAAATCACTAGCTGAGGAGCAGAGTGCGAGGGAGGGAGTGTGGGTGGGAGGGAGTGTAAGGGTGGGGGACGGGGTGGGACGGGGCGTCCTGCTCCGGGGCGGTCATCTCCCACCTGTGCGTAACACCTTCTTCTTGAGCTCAGAGGAGACAAAAGAAGCAACATGTCCCTTTCACTTGCTATCGACCTATCCATCCGAATCTGACCTGGGGGGGAGGGGGGGGGGTGACGTGGGCTTAGTCTCGACCTGCAGAAGGCTGCTCACGTCGTGCGCCTACCGCTCCTCCTCACACCTGTTTGAATGGCACCCACGCCTTTTCCCCTTGTCGTCCCCCCAGCGAACCGAAATGTGCACGTGCATTACAGAACCTATCCCGCCACATCCGTGCAAGGCGCCCACGACGTACGGCTGCAGGACAAGAACACTTTTGCAGACGGAGGGGTCGGCTTTAACCGTCCCGTTGCGCAACAAAGCATGAGTGAGGACGGCTTCTTTGTCTGATTGCAAGACGGGCCTTTGCAATTCCGCTGCAATTCAAAGAGGAACAAGAAGTGAAAGAAATACTGCCGACTTCGTTTTCCCGTCTACGCCTTTTTGCGTTGGCGTCCCGCAAGCGAATCTCGTGTGTATTGTCAGTCCCTGCACGAATTCAAGACAATGTCCGATTAAGGACGAGAACACTTTTTATTTTATTGTTTTTGGGGTTTTTTTTTCTATTTTTTTCTTTTTTAACACACTCACCTGCGGGAGGGTGGGGGGGGGGGGGTTGCTGCTGGCTGAGTCAACTGTCCCGTTGTTGTCCAAAGCATGCATGAGGTCCTTTGTTTTATCGCAATACGTAATATGGTACGAGCTTGAATGGACGCTTACAATTCAAACAGCAAACTGAAGGAGAGAAAAGCAGAGGGGGATTCTTGAAATTCACCAAATTGCAACATCTGGGATGCAAAAAAAAAAAAAGCATGATGTTACTTTCACTTCAGGCAGGAAAAAAATCTGTTGTCATCCAAGTGTCCCCAAAAACTGCAAATATTTTGGACGAATGTTTTTTTTTCATGCAAATCAGTTATTTCACATTCATTTAACTACATGAGTAACGGCCAATCAATGTGAGTAAATGTATTTTATTCGATTTATTGTTGAATGAGTGGACAAAACAAAAACTTTGGACAAAGTGGACACACTGCTTTAAGTGCTAAATGCCAGCACTTGTCCGGCACATGAAATTGCATGGCATGCGTGGCTCATGTTCGTATTTGATAAAAAACAGTGAAGACATACCTCAGTGTATTTTCTTCAAATTCACAAATCAATTACTGTAAATCAACTAATGAAATTGATATCAGTATGTGTGCAGTTGTAATCATTCAAAAGGTAATAGTTGTTTCCAGGAGTGAAAAATGTAATCTCAAGTAATATTTTTCACACGCTTCATGCCAAAATAGCTTTACCACGATGTGTCCCAAAAGAAATGTCACATTTCACCACATGTTTTCTAAAGATGTCAATTTCTTTTTTGCATCTTTTGGCTCTTTCTCCTATTGCTGAGTATGCCCTACCCATGAAAACTAACACAAATGTGCGTTCGGGCCTTAAGAGTTGCTTTTTTTGTTGTCGCTTCTTTTCAAAAGTCACTCAAGCCGTACTCACAACTTATGCCACTAAGAGAGAGCCTCATGTTGTTGTTGCAATACACCAGAGGGATCAGTGATCAAAAGTGCAAGCAACTGGCAGCAATTTTGTAGTCCCACAAAAGCAGACAGCAAAATAGATGCTGTTAATTCTGAGCTATTATGAATTTGTCTTTGTGTCAGAATAATTTCATGTCTGAACCGTTACTACGGACAAATAAAGACAACAGTGGAATGGATTTCAATTTATGCACATTTATCTGCAGAGTTTGAAGAGCAATGTACACATTTATTTTTATTTTTTAAATAAAGCTGCACTTTTGTCCTTACCGTTATGCAAGAAGTGTATTTCACTGGCCCATCACCATTTGCGAAAGTCAGTGCAGGTTAAATCAACAAAGCTGTGGCAAACTTGAAGTCATTATCGTTCATGATTTTTCCCACACAAGTGAAAGAAATGTTGTTCAGATGATGTTTGCACTGGACTGCCATGAATTGAGTGTATTTACCTCAAGTGCATGAAGAAAAATTGCTGTATTGAAAAAAAATGGCAAGTGTCTGCACTATGATCAATTCATGACCCATATATTAGTCTATATGTGAGGAGGAAGCATCCCGCATGGTCTGACTGTTTTTCTCCTCATCGGGGGTCTTGTTTGTACATTTAGGCTCCTGTGTGTGACTCCCCCTGGCCTGTACATTACAGGCCCAAGCTGGCGGCAGTGACTGCTGCTGTTGCCATGACAGCAGCTCAGCAGAGTCTCTGCCCGTGCAAAGGGTGTGTGGGATGGCCCGTTCTCGTGGCTCCATCCGCGCTCACAAAATGGAACACTGGACAAAAAGCCCCACCCTGGACAGTGGAACCACCGGCAGACGTCAAATACAGCACTAGCTCTTTGATGCGTGTGCATGTGGTGATTGGCCAAAACCTGTGCAAGCCATTTCATTCCATTTCATCATTTGATGTCCAGGAGACTTTTTTTTTTTTTTGTCGAAACTGGCCTGGCCCAATAGGTTGTCCATAGGTTGGAGGGCGGGGGGCATTTCAAGCCTGATTTTTGCAAGGATGATCTATCATCATTTTATTGAGTCAATTGACTCCTGTCCCGCGTACCACATATCAGTGCAGCTCTGTTTTGCGCTAATCTGCATTTATTTTTGACCATTGTGTGTGCTGAAGAGGCAAGCAGCAACTCATCCCCCAAAATTACGTGCAAGAAGAACACATGGGCCACATTTGGATATGGACAAACATTTGGCAACACCTGTTAGTTCCAGAATTGGCTGCAATTGGCCACTATTTGCCAAAGTGCCAGTAAACGGCGCTGTGGCTCCATCGACAGACTGACTGGTCACATTTTTCTAGGTTGTGCTGCTCTCGTCATGGATGGTAGACGAGAGCAGGCTAAAACATACGTCAATGTGGCGGCCATGTCGGCAGTGGTGATGTTCCCATCAAAGGCAATGCATGGACACATGCGACCCCCATGTTTGCAGGGGTGACTGTCCCATCAAAGGTAACACTGGTCAATAGAAAATGTTAATCAGAGATTGGTTTATGCATCCATAAACATGTTTTTGACGCTGATTTATATGGTTTTGACCATGCTTTGTATTTTATAGCAATGATGTTTCAGAAAAACAATCCACCTGTTGCTGACGGTAATCCTTAATTCATGAATATGACTAAATAAATACATTACTATATTACATATAATATTATTGTCATTATATTATTATTGTTATTATGAAAACCTGAGAAAAAAACGACGGCAGATTTGGACGCAGCCAAAATATATCTTGAAAAGTGTACTTGCTTCTCTAATTAAAAAAAAAAATGTAAAAGGTTGTTGAGCAGTTTAATGAAAAACATTAGCTTAACATCACTGTAAGGACACAACTAAACTTGACACTCAAAATTATCCACAGATGTGAGTGTTAGTGTGGATGGTGATTCGCCTATGTGTGCCCTGCGATTGGCTGGCAATCAGTTTGGGCTGTACCCCAACTACCGCCGTAAGACTGCTGGGATTGTCTCCAGCACACACCCAAACCTCGTGAGAATAAGCAGTTTGGAAATTGATGGCTGGATGGATTAAATGGAACAGTCTTACTAAAATGAAAGGAGTTATTTTGTGACCATTGGACATTTTGAATATGGTTAAACAGCTATGACATTTGGGGTCCCTCAAGGGTCAGTCCTTGGACCACTTTGGTTCAATCTGCTTATGCAGAGATGGTCACTTTACCCTATTTTGATGGTATGTCATCCATCCTCCGTCCGCGACCTGGGCACCCGTCCGTAATCGTCCGTCCTTATTCATAAAATAATCATCCTCCATCCCTGTCCATCCTCGTCGTTTTAATGCGCTTCCGTCCTTACATTTCACCAGTCCGTCCCCCTCACCCCCGCACAAAAAAAAAAAAAGCGTCCATGATGACACCGTGGGAGGTTTCATAATTCATAAATGTTATTTAAAAGAACCCACGGGGTCTTATTTGGCCCCTATAAATTCTTCTACTCAAATGCTACTCTTAAATCCCGAAGGGTCAAATTTGGCCCTAATCCTAAAATAGGATTAAAGCATTAAATATTTAAAAAAAACATATATTTTGGTGTTCGGTGAACATATAGCAGTCATTTAATGTATAATTCATCATTTTCCAAAGAAGAAAAGGGTTCTCGGGTTCTCCAGGGTTAAAGCTCATTTGCTGGCTAATTTCCTATTCACATCCACTTACCTTACGGACACCCACTTCTTAGATGTTACCTGAGTTGGTCATTTACGCAACGATAGTTATTAGTGTCCACAAATGACAGCAGTTCAATTGATACGTAATCTGGTTCGCTTGAGCAAGGGTGCCCAATACGTCGATCACGATCGACCGGTAGCCTACGGACTGGTCCCAAGTTGGTCACAGAGGGTGTAGGGTAAAAAAAAAGTTTTATGTGTCTTTGTGCATGTTTTTATTATTCTAGATTTTTTGTGTTAGTGGACACTGCACCCTAAGCATTCTATCAGTTTCACTCACACAAAAAAGTTTTGAAAGAATGAAATAAAATTTTAAAATTAGTTACATTTAACGTACAGTGGCTCATGACCGCCATCACCGGAAGTTGTTAGCCGTCAGCAGTCTCTAACTGCAACTTGTGATCAGAGCTGTTGCGATATGTTTTTTTGTTTGTTTTTTGTTTTTTTCTCATTCGGTTTGGTTCATCTGCAATTCACTGATGGGAATATGGAGTGCCAGTAGAAGTATTTTGAAACGGTAAACGTGAGCTACGATAGTGATGTTCATGCAGTTAACACGCTGCAAAAGTGCATCCCATTTCTCTACGTCAGGTCTCCCACTAAGATAGGCGGTGTATTTCTTTTCACAAACTCACAAACTCTTGTATCTACTTTATTTTCCTGTTTCGTTCATCTTA